ACAGGTTCGAATCCTGTCGACTGCGCAAACATTTTCTTAATTTTTTAGGAAGACAGATGGGATGGCAATCGATGTGAGCACGGACGCCGGACAAGGCTAGACCCTAAGGAGATTCGCCCCTAAAACGCGTTACAATTGTATTTAGCACATCATGTAGTTTCTCGACGAAATCAACATCATACGAAGGTGGACGATAACAGCATCCCAGAATGAATCTTTGATAATGAATGGTGATACAGACGAAAATATTTTCAATGGTACTGTTACTATCCACACGGAATGACAAAGCCAATCAATGACATCGATTTATACGCCGCAACCATTTCCTAATTTCCTGTCTCGTTGAAACACATTGAAGCGTTTTTGGACAGGAAACAAATCTGCATTAGTAACCTTTGCCGAGAGCCAAGTCTCGGTTAGTACAACAATGTTTGCATCGCAAGTTTCAATCAGAGAATATAGTTCGTCTCGCCTTCTGCTAAGGCTACGCATGTTAGTAAACAAGAAGGACGCGTTAGATAGAATATCGCGACAACTACTACCCCTCACTGCAGGCACGTATCCAGGAAAGGGGGGGGGGGCATGGGGCTTGCCCCCTCTTCCCGAAATCTTTCATTTCGCTGGAGCCTCCTCTCCCCCCTCTCCCTCATAAAGCATATTGTCATAAGCGCCCGAATCAAAATCCTGGCTACGTGCCTGCCTCACTGACCGCTAAACTGGAGTAGTTGTACTCTCGGGTACCGAAGAGGGACGTAGAGGAACATCAGGAGCATGAGAATGAGACAGTTCCGAGACGCGGCGTAGTTCATGATCGTAGTTGTAACATTCATCCTTTAGGAGCAGTTTGTCATAGCTAAGCTTGAAAGTGGTACCATGCGAATTTCCAAACTTCAATAATTTCCTGCACGCCAAGTGCGTCGCAAAGGAACAATCCTCGCCAACACTGATGTTAGCTATTTAAGGTTAGCCCTTAGTCACAGCACTTAATCTTTTGTTTTAAAGGATAAAGGTTTTACGATGATGGGTCTGCACTTGTTGGCATGAAACTGCCCTAGCCTGAGAGCACGCTCGATATCAAAAGACGTGGCAGACGAGTTTGCCCATTTTCCACCGAAACAATCCGATAAGGCCGTTCTAACCTTTTCTTCTGCTTGCGACCACGTTTCAGCTGGATCATCTGGTATCCCGTAGGAAAGAACGTTGTTACCTCTTGATTGATCTTCTGTTTCGTCAAGCCTAGAACGCAGTGTGGCATCTCCTTTCCTAAGGTCTCCGTTTTTTTGCCTTAGTGCTCGCACTTTGTTCTCTAAAGTTCCTGTCTTGTTTTCAGCAGTTGTAAGCCGTTTCCCAATTTTTCATCCTTTTTCCTCGATGGATTTCTTATTTTGCTTTATTTCGTCAGTGTAACTCCGTAGACTTGTTTGTCCTGATTCGAAATTTTGTGATCCAGAATTAAGATCATGCAGAAGTTGTAACAACTGTGTAAACTTAGCCAGCTGCTCAGCATACAAGGGACCAAGATTTGACTCTATGTCGCCACAAGAAAGCAAAGATCGAAAAGAAAAAAACACATGACTCAACATAATGCCCCAAAAAGTATGGGCAGGGCAGCAGCAGTAAGAAACGATCGTCCGAGCGATAACACTAGCCTTCGTTAGCATCAGGACGTACGTGTACAAAGAAGAGTAACAGCTTGTAAGGCATTGTAGCCGCGGTGCTGCCGACCTCCCCACTGAAGAAATTGTTAATGTGTCTTGATTCTATAGCCCGAGATGGTGACGTGGATGTTTCACGTGGTCCCCCGGCTTACAAAGGCATCTGGTGGCCAAGCATGGTACTAGTCGTCGGGATGCTGCAAAAAGGTGACGTGTCTGACTTCATCATCACGACAGGGTCCCCTGCGTAGTTCATAATGCATTCCAATTAAAGATGATCCCTGGATATGTCGGTAGTCATTCCATGTGGCGGCAGCAAGACCTGTGCAGAGAAGAGCAACAGCTTGTAAGGAATCGTAGCCGCGCTGCTGCCGACCTGCCCACTGAACGTTTCCTTCCAACAGAGCTTCTCCGGACATAATTGTTGCGATCCCGACGGCATAAAGACGCTCGACAGCGGCGGTATGTCCACGTGGTCGGTAAGGGCTCGTACCGCGGCGGACGTCGTATCATGATCTTTTTACGTATGGGGTAGGCTCCCGCAGCGTAAACCTGTCCGCTCCAAGGCAGATGATGTCGCCCTATTCACACAGATGTAGTTGTGTTGTCCCACTTTTAATTGTTTATTCTTTCTTCGTCCATCACCTGAACCAACACGCTCTTTTACCAAGCATCACAGAGAAAGTTCATTCTAAGAATGACGTTGACGTCTCTTGAACAGTACTGGAGGACGACGAATTTCACGGGACAGGTCTCCCCGTGGATGTCCACGCATGCAGTGCACCGTCTTACTGGTGTGATGTGATGTCCACCGGCCGTTCGTACTTTCGGGCCATCCCACGGCGTCATCACCTTCGGGAGGCGGCGAGAGAGCTTCCCACTCAAGAGTCAAGACTGAGTAGTCTTGTCCGATGTCGTTAAGTGCCGTCGCGTCGTGTTCGTTGATGTAAACGTCAAGGTTATTCGCCACCGTCGCATAAGCGTCGTTTCGACGCATCTTGTCGCTAGTGTGGGAGCCCTCCAACGTTTGTGAATGACATCTGCGTCGTCCGTTCTCGGGTATACCACCTCCCGATATTGCCGCAAATACAGGCTTTCCCGGCGGCACCTATGAAGAGGCGATGCAGGGCGTCGCGGTGAAGGCGAGTGATATCCTCGGCGGTGAGACAGCTCAGAAGATGTCGAGCGACGTAGTTAGTTCTCGATGCCCCTATGTCTCTCCCTTAGGCGTCGTCGAGGGTCATTGAGCGCAAACCCTCCCAAGCCTAGATCGCGGTAGGGGCATCGTCAGTGAACGTGGTCGGCTTCCCCGCAGTGGTAGCATAGAGGGCGTCGGTCGGCCTTTCTCCACACGTCGGCCTCCCTGGGTGCGGGTTGTTCCGGTCGGACGTACTGAAACCGTTCTTTGTGACATCGGGAGTACTGCGATGATAGACGCTCATGGCGTGGAAGCTCTACGTTCGGGCGAGCAGGTGGCGGTGGTCGGCGGGCCATAGCGGCGTAGGTCAGCGTCGGTTCATCAGGGGCTGCCACGTCGACGGGAGCCTGCGGCAGGAAGGCTCGATGCACTTCTCGAACGACCTTGGCGATTGAGAGCTAGGACGGGCGCTCGGCAGCAGGAAACAGCTTTTTAAGCTACTCCCGAACAATGTCACGGATAATTTTGCTGATGCCCGGGGTGCAGGTGGTGATGTCTCAGAGGGACGGCGTGTGGCCAGCGACGAGGGAGATCGTTCGTAGTGACTTGTTTTTGCAAGGTTGACGCGTTCGATGTTCGACGCCTCCGTCACGAAAGCCTCGACGGTCGCAAGTGGGTTGCGCACAAGGCCTCCAAAGATGTTCTCTTTGACCCCTTTGCATAAGGATCCTCAGTTTCTTCACTTCAGAAGCTTCAGGACCCGTTCAGCTGCTGAGTCGAAGCACATCCTCAACGAAGCTGACGATCCTCTCGTTGGGGCCTTGAACCCTCACATAAAGCAGCTCCTCAGCGCCTTCTCGTCGTTTTTGGTCGCAAACGCTCGGCGAAGCTCCTCCTTGCGTGCTTCCCAGGTGATGATCGTCGCCTCGTGGTTTTCATACCAGGTGCGTGCCGTTCCCTTGAGGAATAACTAGACGTTCTGCAGGCATTGCTCCGGCGTCCGCCCATTGTGACGGGCAATGTTCTTCAACGTCCAATCTTCGACGTCCACGTAAGCTTCGCCGTGGAAGAATAACAACATACGAGGTGCGACCGGCAGGATCACGGCGTGGGATGCGGGAGCAGGGGTCTTGGTCGGCTGACCCTGGGGAAACATCTGGTTCGGCAACTTCGTCTTTAATTGTTTCAGCAAGGGACCGAATTCCAGAAGTTGGCATTAGGTACGGTGGCTTTCTCGGGTTTCGCCTAGCTCCACAGAAGGAAGTTATCCGGGTCCATAAATCGATCAGGTACGGCGGCTTCTTGGAGGCGTACGCGGAAGGGACATAGAAAGTACCCCGCATCTCCAACAGAAATGTCACAGAAGAAGGCGAAAAGACGATATATAATGAATTGAAAATAAAAATTTACTCGGAGAATTTGTGCGAGAAACAAAAGCAAGAACAAACGTCAAGCAAAGCAGCAACGAGCGGCGGTGCGTCGGCGTGACAGCTGCATAGCGCGAGAGTGGAATGGTGCCTCGTCGTCGGGAGAGTCAGAGTGAGTCGGCAAGGCCGCTCTCGGCTCTTTATCTACTACAGTAGGCTTCTCGAAGATTCGGCCTAGAATGTCCGGGAGCGAACTAGGACGAGAATGACTAAGCAAGTTCATTCTGGTCTCCTTAATTTTTACGCTCGGCGGAAAGACAAAACACGAATCTTTCAGACCTACAAATGAGCGTTCCTTCTCGGTCATGCACGCGGCAATATTACGTTGATTAAATTGCAACGACGCCTACACATCAACACGCGGCTCTGACGTCACGCGGCTGCGGTGGCGCTGCTGTCGGCACAGCGCATGCGCAGTCCGTATCTTTCACGTGAACCTGCTTTTTCACGCGCGCGCAAACGCGGACTTGTTTGTAAACAGTGTGTTGGCCTACGTTGGCCTATTGATTTTTGAATCGCTCATCACTCGGGCGAAAAATGCTGGGTCACCAAGCAGTGAACCCATGCGCAGCGTCTAATAGACAGCACAACGGGGCTACAGCGCATGCTCAGAAGGCGTTTCACAGCCCAGCAGACAATAATGGCTGCGCGCAGAAGGCGATTTTGGTAAAGGTCCATGGAGCTTTGCAAAAATCGCCTTCTGATTTAACCTACTCGATTTAAAACAATAGCGAAACGAAAATATGTGTCGAAATCTTGTTGGGCGTGGTCTATTCGCAGTGGCCTTTAAGCCCAACGCCTCGATGCATCGGATTCACCACATCCTCGTGTATGGCTGCCGGACGCCAGGCTACCGGGAATGGGACACCCCGAAGGCCGTGTGGGACTGCGACGAGATGTCCACGTCACGGAAACAATTCCCCAAACGCCCCATCTGCCAGACAGGCTCCCGAATCGTCTATGGCTGGGCAAGAGACGCCCCACGCCTGCAGCTGCCTGAAGGTACCGTCGAACTTAGCTGAATTTAATTCAGTATAATCTAGTTATTACTCACACTTCGAATGCGTTCGAACGCCGAACGCCAGGTTTGGTGCTCTGTCGCCCCCGCGCGCTCCTGACTTCTCTCCTCTCTCATTTTTTACTCGCATAGTTTTATATATGGCCCGTGATAGCAATTAACCGAACGGTAGTGTATCATAACCGTCGTCTGTGATCGTCACCGTCGCCAAGTGGCTATTCGGAGCGCAAGATCGTCTGCTTCTTTGGAGGGGCTCTGGTGACGCCAGAACGCCGAGCGCTGATTGGCTGTGATTAAAGGATAGTGGGTAGACCTCAAGGCACCTTGCTTTGAGGTCTCCCCACTGTCTTACAATCAAAGCCAATCAGTACTAGGCGTCGTTATGACGTCACTGCAACTCCTGCGCAAGGAGCAGACGACTTTCTCTCCGCATACTTAGCGGAGGAAGCTTCCCGTTATGCTTTCCTTCTTGTTCGGCACTCAAAATACGCATCTCGCGTGTGGTGGGTGGTAACTTTTCCCAGACTTTGAGAACAGTGGTGAATGTCTGGACCAGGGTGTAAGATAGACAGGTGGGGAAACGAGAGCCAAATGAGCGACCGGATTGTGTCCCCCTCGGTTTTCTCTTTTTCTGTGGCGCCATCTATGTGGAGTACCGCGAACTCTCACTCCGGGTGGGCAAACGGTGGCGACCGGCTAAATTGACGGAGATGATTCCTCGTGGATTTTCAATGGAGGACTGTCGTGCTCTCGGTTTATTTTGTGCACTCTCCCATAGAGTTCCGTGCAAATCCGATTCCGATTTTTTTCCTCTCGCCGCAGCGCCATCTGTCGCAAGTCGGGGGTACCCCCAAGCAGACGAGTACACAATCCGGTCACGGCGCTGCGGTAGACTTCTATGGGCCGTTTCCCCACCTGTCTATCTTACACCCTGGTCTGGACATTGTGGTGGAATTTACTATAGACAGAGCAGCCTGCGATGCCCGTGTATGTGGTGTGGTGTCGTGTTGTGCGAAACCTGCGAATTCCCTTGAAGCAAGAAGTTTCACCCCCACTTTATTTGCATGCAAATTGCGGCGATGGGCCTATGAATATTTTGAATATCTTGTGCAAAGGAATTACTGGCATCGATACAAATATACAATATCGTGTTGTTAATGTTGTTGTTGTTGTTGCTTTGTTGTTGTTATTGTTGTTCTTTTTAAGGAAAAGGGAAGGGGGGTAGGTTTATTGGAAAAAGGTTGCTTATAGATTTTGACTTTCAAAGAAATTTAATACTGTGACTTCTAAATCTTTTATATCAGATTTGGACGGTAGCCAGAAAATTTAAGTTTGAAATGTTCCAGAAAAGGTGAATATTTAAGAAGAATTATGGTTAATTTGTGAAATTTAAGTAATTAGAAGTTATCACAATTTATTCGTACCCTGACGTTTACCGCCGTCGACGACGTTATAACAAAGGAATCCCTTTTTTATTTTAACTATCCTTTATTTTAAATTATTTCCCCTTTTGGGGGAAACCGCTTTTATATTTATTGATTTACCAAACGTTTGCAAGCTCCGAATTTTTTTTACTGTTCTAAAGTAGTATAGAAAGTGGTGTGGAGAAAGAAAAATGAGCTATCAAGCAGACAAACACGTAGAGAAGTGGTTTTGCGTGGAACAATTAAGTGACAGAAACGAGAAGTCTCATCTAGTATATTAGCTAGTACAGTACTAGATAGGACTTCTTTTTGTAATTTAGTTTTTACACACGAAACCACTGTTCTACGTGTTTGTGTGTTTGACAGCTCAATTGTCCTTTCTATGTGCATTAGTAAAAAAAAAAAAATATACCAGGTTATTTTTGACAGTTGAACATATTTACCAATTCCTGACGGTAGATAAAATTTAAAAGCGCTGATTGTTCCAGGCGTTGGCATGAAGATCGGTGGCGACAGTGGCATCGAATTTCTTGTGATTCAAGCTCATTATGGCGACACGACTTCTTTTCTGGGTGAGCTTCTCTTTTGTTCGCCAATTCGTGATTTGTTTTAATAATGATTATTTAAAATATAGTCTTGAAAAAAATTATTAGTTTGAGTCCACATTTGTGACTGAGTACGACCTAATGTCGTTGCAACTTTTCATGACTGCTTACGGCGAATTTGAGACCACACTGGCAGACTGGCACATTGGCAGCATTCATCACGCAGCCCTAGAACGCTTCCCATCCGTGTAGAAGCTGTATAACCACACTAATGGCTTTGCTCAAATCTATGCGCTCAAGTCTATGATCTCAAATCTATACGCTATCAACGAAAAGGTATGGCTTATGATTAGTACTCCCTGTTTTCGGATTAATCCGGAAAACACTCGTCGGTAAAATATTCGTCAATTCGGATCCGGAAAACTCTGAATTTCGAGGTCACGATGGCAAAATAAGAAAGCAAGAAAGGTGGCATTTCATGAATAAGTTCGTCTGAGCGCAAGGTTAGTAAGTAGTCCTAGAAAAGAACAACGCACTTAATTTTTTTTAGTATAGGATTATTGACAAATCTGAGTTTCCCGTTTATCTCGTCAGGGTTTGTTTTCAGTACAACGGGTCAATCTGCTTCTAGGCGACGACAAAAAACACCGTTCCTATTTTTAATTTAGTCCATACAATTGTGCTTTGTTAATAAAGGAGGGCTTCGGTTCACGGTGGAGTTTGGCTATTTCAAAGTACCGACATTTATTGAAGCAAGACTTGTTTGCAAGATTTGTCGTGGGACAATTAGTACTGCCAATGTCAAATGAAGCTGTAGAAATATATCTTCATACCGGCGAGGTTTCATAAACATAGTGCATGTTTTTGTCCGAACATTTATTTTTATATTGAGCGTAGAAAAACTGGAACACACTAAAATTAAATTTCGAATTTCGAAGAATTTTAGAATCTAACCAAAATAAACTCCGTAAAAACAGAACCCAATTTAACAGAACGCTAGTCATAGCTATAGGGTTTCGTTTTTCGACAAACCCGGGAAATTAACCCCCCGAGCCGGTTTTAATCAAAATCGGGAAAAACCGAAAAATAATAAACTGGAGTATTCCTCTACTCAGGAAAAACCCAAGCTTCCACGGCCCGATAAACACCGATTTTTTGTCAGACACCGAAAATTGACACAGAAAAACACGGAACCGGCTAAAAAAATAAACCCCGAATTAAAAAAAAAAAAGAATTCAAAGAAAAAGAAACTCCGAAAACACGGCACCCTACTTATAACATAGCAGTTGCATCGAGCCCATGAAGAAAGAATGGGTAGAACTATTAGGAAATATAAACAGGGCGGAGATGCTCTTAGGCTTCCCGATAGATGGCGCTACGTTTTCGTTCGTCGAAAATGATGATGATGATGTTGAGACTATGCCCACTTCAAAGGGGATAGCCTCAAAATCATCATCATCATCATCGTCGTATGCAGATCACAAGCGTCTGCAACTAAAGCGCAAATCCGTGAATTAGTCTTCTGGTGCAAAATCGGAAAAGGGTATGCGTACGTAGGGGACCAACCAGCCATCACAAACTAAACAGCACGGCCGCAGTAGTCTAATTATGACGTCACGTACCAGAGGCGAGACACGGAGCACACGCAAGGCGCAAAAAAAAAAAAAAAAAACATAGAGAAAAAATAAGAAAACTAGGTAGAATACGGAACAAAAGTGTGACTGCAAAGTGATGATTTTTTTTTACCCAAAAATGTTTACTTTTGCATTTTTATATCTTAGATCTGCTAGATACTGGAGTAAACCACCTCGGTGGCTCCGATGTGGTTTACTCCAGTATCGGTGGCCCAGTGCTGGGTAAAGTAAAACTAAAAAGTACTTGAAGTAAAGTACAAAGTAAATGAGACGTGATGTACTTCAAGTAAAATAGTAAGTTCACTGGGAGCAATGTACTTCAAGTAAAGTAATATAAATACAATGTACTTACAAAGTAAATTACAAGTTTTTTAAACAATCATTCATGATTCCCTTTCATTCCTCTATACAGTAATTTTTTAACTGGTATGCATTGCCCAGGGGTAATCGGGGTGCATGACCTATTTTCAAAAAGAGCTGCGAATATTTGATAAAGCCATATGGCCATAGAGTAGTTATTCTCAGGAATAGAGCCAAATTCAGAAGTCCCGCTTCTGAATTTGGTGCCGCTTGCACTGGATTGTTGCACCCAAGGGGGTTAAATGTACTAGGAGAGAGCATGACGTCAGCCCCGTAGCTTCCGCAAGCAATCCTCTCACAGAGGAGTGTCCTCTCCTTAATGAAAAAAACAAAAACAAAAGAGTAAGTGTGCAAGTGAGGTGGTGATAATTAATCATAATGTGACACCCGAGATTGGGGTGCGAAAAAATTAAGGAACTTTAAAGTCGAAGGAAAAGAAAAAAGATAATGTCTCAAAACATTGTGGCATTCTCTGTTGTCTTTTTCTTCGACTTGGAAGTTCAGTTTTTCCGCACCACCAGTCTCAGGTTCTACATTATAATTAATTTTGCTCTCCTAATATTTTAAACCTCTTCGCTTGCGCTGACCTACCAAGAAGTAGCGAGAGTTCAAAAAGCTACGGCGGAAAGCCGCCCCCAGAACAAACCGAGCGATGCATCGTCTGCTCACGTTTCTGGTGAGAGTAGCGTATTTCTGCCACTGCAGCTTTTCTTCGAAGTTGACAAGGCATCATTTCGAGATACAAATTTAACAAAACTAAATTTAGGGAATATACTTTGAAGTCGGAAATTGTACTTTCCTCGGAAAGTACCAGAAAAAAATACTTTAAGTGAAGTACAAGTACATACTCAGAGAATGTACAGTCTCCGGCAAAATGAAAGACCCACTGGGAGCGCGTGGCCGAGGTGGTGGCTGGCGGGGGCGCTGCGAGCGCTCCGGGCCATTCCATTCTGCTGCGAGGGGAGGACGCTCACTCGGGGCTCAGCGCAATCTGATAAGCGCGTTTCGCATTAGCTGAGCCCGAGTGAGCTTCCTTTCCTCGAAGCAGAATGGAATTGCCCGGAGCGCTCGCAGCGCCTCCGCCAGCCACCGCCTCGGCCACGCGCTGCCAGTGGGTCTTTCATATTGCCGGAAACTGTACTTCAAATAAAGTTAAGGTTTCCTAAACCTACTTGAAGTAGTACTTTAAGTACAATGTACTTAAAGTACTTCCCAACACTGCGGTGGCCGAGTGGGCTAAAGCGCACACCCAGCTCGACGCGCGTGGAGCGAAAGCTCGCGCTGCGGAACCCAGAGATCCTGGGTTCGAGCCCCACCCCTGCCCGTTTCGATCTGGATGAGCATCGTACCGGCGTGCAGTCGTGCATCAATACTGCGTAAGCACGTTAAGGACCCCCAAACTAGCAGTCGTACTGCACTGGCAAAATTGCTCATCTACAGCGTAAGAACCTGTGTCGCCCCATCCTGGCAGACCTACCTTACACTGTATAAACACTAAACGTCCAATTTAACTTTTTTTTTTTTTTTTTTGGCTCCAAGGAGCGACGGTCTGTACGGCTCCCCCCGGTGGCGGGTTCGAATCCCGGCCGAGATGCCCGCAATATGACGGAGGCTTATTGCGGAAAAGGAGGCCATATGTAACCGAAGTTATGGTTGCTCGTAAAGAGACCCTTAGGCGGTCGAATCCTCCGTCCTCCGTTCGAACGTGCCAGACGCACTTCTTTGGTTAAACACGTAACCCCCCCCCTCCCCCCCCCCCTCCCCCCCCCCCCCCCCCACCTCCTCATCCACCTACCAGCCTAAAAAAACTTTATATGAAAGTGGGCGTTAAGCCTACTTGGCTCTCTGGATAAACGGAATGAAAATTAAGGCTATACATATTTCATCCAGATGGAGAGACAAGTGACAGCTCGGGAATTGTCCTCTCAGTGGTTCCTGGCAACAGCAAAGAGTATGTACAGTTTTTTGTGTTTTATTTTTAATGTTTCACGACGCTTTTTGTATATATTACTTGGTAATCTACACACAACTCAACTTCCTAATGTCACTCCGCTGCGGTGGTGCTGCTGTCGGAACTTTTGTCGTGTTGATATATAAAATGGATTGTACCATTCTCCCGTGCGCTACTGATATATATACCGGGTGTTTCGGAGAATAAAAAAAAAAAAAAAGAACCAGGTTTTACTCACCTCTCTAAAAAATGAAGTGCGCTTCGCCTAACGCTTTAGTGGGTAGTTCCAGCGGTTGGTACATACCACAAATTTGGCAACTTTTGCGTTATCGGATTCAAAAGCTTCAAAGGATTTGTGGGGTTTTTCGACGAGAAAATGGCGGCCAACAGATCCCGCTAGTACTGGAGATGAATGGTACATCGAATATTTGGAAAGCAGGCCCCATTTTCGCATTTAAAAGTTTCGTAAACAGCTTGTAATTTTTGATTGAGATAAAACTAAGTTTTGAAACTTGTGGACCCAACCGTCAGCGCTACGCTTGGGCAGAGACCGAGCATTCGGCAGCGAGTTGCCTATTCTTTTCTGGCGAGGAAAACACGGTTCCCTTCTGTCCCAAACACGTGGTACTCTGAATGTCCCATTAAAACAAAACTTAGGTCATGCGCGGATATCTGGTCAAGAAACATTTAAAGAATGCTGCAAAGCGGTTGGAAAGTTTGATGGCGACTGCTGGGTCTTTCGAGAAGCTACTCGTGTAATGACCTCATGTTTCAACTTACTTTTGAGCTTGAAATGGGTTGAATTGTATATATTTGAAAGATTACACGTATAGATTGACACACGTTTGAAGCTTGCATCTTCAGACATGTGCTTTTGAATCTGTTGCTTTCTACTGGATAACATCATTTGGAATTCGAACTCGTACATATTTTTAATTAAAAAAGAAGCGCTATGCGAGAAAAAAGAAAGTGTCAATTGCCACTTGATATAATTTTGCCCAACCCCACGGAAAGAAACAGGTGGCACCTATTAGCTGAGATCCCTCCGTTCGAGTGACTGATGTCGCAGCGTTATAGTAGAGAGTTTTAAGGAACCGTTTCTGCACATCCAATAGGGTACGAACTGCGCATGCGCTACCGCCGAAGACTCACACATGCGCAGTTCGTACCGGAGGGTTCACCGTACCGTACTAGACGCGTCCTCCGACTGGTGTGTCTATGGCGCCCAAAAAACGGTCCCCCAATTTAAAGAACGCCTGATGACGTCATTTCCGCCTGATGACGTCGTATATATTCTCGCCGACCGCGATCCTGGCGGTGTGACAGCAGCGGTGGTGGTTGCGGCAGACGCCTGTTCCGCTGCAGGGTCCCTCTTCTGCTTGACAGACCACGGAAGCTTCGGCAGCCAGGGGTTGGGAGACGCCGTGACGAACGCGACACTCGCCTTCGCTCGTGCTTTTTGTTCGGAACTTTGACGACCAACCGCCAGGATAGCGACATCCGACAGCGTGGCACTCCGGCCTTTTGCGACGTAGTTCTTCGCCACTTTGGGACCACTTTTGATGTATCGGCGGAATAGGATGCTAAAGAAACCAGTCGGAGACGCGTCGTTCAAGGCGCCGTAGCGACGGGGGCTTAACATTGCTTTTCAGGTCTATTTGAAATTAGATTTGTATACCGTTTTCTCAAGCTGTCATACTCCACAGCAGTGGTTCTCAAATGGGGGTCCGCGAAGGTATTTTAGGGGTCCGCGAAGCCCAGCCTCATTACTTAAGCCCGGAAATAAAGTTGTCTTTTCTCAGACTGAGAAGAGACGTTCCAATTTTCGGGCAAGTGTTTTCGTGTATGTGTCCATAGAAGTCTACTTCACACTAGCCCTTAGTTATAAGCATCTACTGAATCATTATCATACCTAACCTACACATTTCCCTTCCCCTCATCACCAACGAGATCCTCCGTCTTCTCCACCGATCCAGACGGGGTCCGCGAAACTACAATGGTTGAGAACCAGTGTCGTCACAAGGGAGGGGTGGGTGGGGGGGGAAGGGCGGGAGGGGGGGGGGGGGGTGCTGCTGACCTTAGTGACGCCACTGTTGAGAACCACTGCTCTACAGAATAATGTGAAGTGTAGACCGTTCTAACATTCGCCTCCTGCTCGCCGCCATCCTTGACTACTGGGCTGTGTGGAACGCGTTCCGTGCATGCGCAGTGGCTCCCTCTTCTTATGTGGAATACGGGACGCCGCGTATGTCTACACAGCCCAGTGGCTCGGTGTTTTTCGCCCAGGTCATGATCGCTGAAACGGTGTATACGGCCTGAAAAGTCCCATGCCCTTGAAAGGATGGATGGATGAATGCTAATGGCTATCTCTTGACAGCGGGCGGTAGCTTGCGCCATCTATAGCCTAGAAATCAAAAGAATGATTTAGCCCCTCTCCCTTTTAAGTGAATTTCTTCCCCCTCTGCATTTTTCTAACTGTTAGCAGGCAGTGGGGGATATCGACAGGATGACCTTTGGGATATCAGGCAAAAAAGCTACAACCCCCCCCCCCCCCCCCCCCTTCACCCCCGGCGAGCGAGTCGGAAAATTGTTCACTCGTGCTTTTGTTTACCCCCCGACCTAAACCAATGGTGACTCAGGCTTGGTTACCTGAGTCGCCATTGTTTGCCTTTTAATTGACACGTTTCTCTTGTTTCGATGCGCGAAACACGCAATTAGGAGCACTTGCTCGCCGCATACGAGGGACTTTATTATTGAAATCGTTGCATGCGCTTTTGTAACCCAGAAGAGATGCTTATCAAGAAGAAGTGAGATCGCAAAGCTAACTAATATAATTTGAAGATCATTAAAAAAACAAAAAAAAAAAAACAACACAGGTGAAAGAAAGGCAGCACAAACACGAAGTGCTGCTTTCGTTTGTATCAGTCTCGGATATTTGTTTTTATATGTTTAGATATATATTACGGCGAACACTCAAATTACCTCAGAGCCTTCGTTACTGGCTTTTGCATTAAAAAGACATCGAGTCTTATTTGGCAGTTCATTGACTCGTTTTCTTCTTTCTGTAGAGTGAAGAGGACCGCTGGAGTGTACGGACTAGACACAGGCGGGATGATTCCGGCAAATAGTTATGGTGACTCTCGCTTCATTGTGGTCTCATGGCTGGCTTCAAGTGTAATACATTTAGTGAGGTTTTAATCAATCATTGATCAACGACACGTGTCTGTGTGTGTGTGTGCACATCCGTTGCTCCTTTCTTTCAGGTCATCTTGAAGCGGCTTGCCAGATAAACGACAATGTGACTCTACATCCCTTTGCATTCCGTGTTCACACTCATATACTCGGTAAGTTTTGTCGATCAGGCAGGCAGAACAAACGCGAGACGAGATTTATAGGTTTTTTTGGGCGCTGAATACGCGTTTTAGTTTATTTGTTCTACAACAATCCACAAAATATTGGGAGTTTTTATTCTCCGGGGCATTAAATGGTGTCTCATGTGCTTGTTTTTGCATCTAAGTCAGTCTTATAAGTTACGCAACGTTTTTTGAGCAGCACAGGTCGATTTGTACATTGTTCTGAAGGTTAAGGTATACCGTACTTGGCGGACCATAGCCCACTTCCTGTGTATAGCCTGCGGGGACAAATTTAGGCTAAAAAAAAAGCTTTATTCAAATTGCCCACACCTGGTGTCAAATCCGCGCGTGGCAAATTCTCCTACACTGCACATCTTCACAAATGCCCGCTTTAATATCTAACAAAAAAAAAACAAAAAAACCTCGTAACACACATAGATCATCATTAACATACTCCGCAATTCACAAAATTTGTCACGTCTCGTCAAAATAAATGATCTGAAATAAAATTATCATTCTTGTATAGTTCGCTCCAGGAAAATTACGTTAATTAAGGTTCTTGTTGTTGTTGTTGTCTTTGTTATTTTTGTTGTCCTTTTACGGCTATGACACTCGGAAACCTTTTAGAGCAAGATACATGCTGTATACATTGTCTTATACGCTACTAGTGTCACGAAGGATTTTGGAAACAGTAGGTCTCGGTCGATTAAGCATTTAAGATTTCTCGTCATCTCAATGACCGGGGCGCAGTACTTTATACACCTTTCGTCATAAACTAATCTTCTGCTTGGTTGAAGTGCGCAATACAATGCGGAACACAAGTTTTTCTGCTTCTCGCACAGGGTCTGCGATGATGTCAGATCCCGTGCTCTCATTGGCTAATCGAAAAAAAAATAGTGGGTAGACTTCGAGGCACCTAGCATTGAGGTACACCCAACATCATTTCTTTCAATCGAAGCCAATCAGAGCTCGGGGTCGTCCAGACGTCACCGCAACTGCTGCGCAAGAAGCAGAAGACTTGCTCTCCGCATAGACTTTTCGCCAACGTTACTAAAACAGCCAGTTGGGAAACTCACCCTTGAAACCTGGACCTCTGGCGTCCACCGAGACCGAGCAAAATACGATAAGAGCGCCACTCTTTAGCGACGAGTTGAAACATGAAAGTTGCTTCATATAGCTACTGCGAGATGGCCCTCCGAGATGGCGCCACTGGCCCTTACCCGACTCGACTAGAACCATACCTGCAGCCGTGCAGTTCTAGCAAGGGACGCTGCAGGAGAAATGGTGGCGTTGCAATCGCCATTAGCTCGGTTCTCGAGTACGGATCGGAGCCACTTTTTCAAAGCAGGCTCTATGGCAGTTTCCCAACTGAGTGGTTCTAGTAACGTTGCTTTTCGCTAAATTACCCAAGCATCCAAGATAATGCTGGGAGCGTAGATCCACAAGCTGCACACGCTCGCCTTCCTTATACAAACTATTAGACGTGAATAACCAAAATAAAGCGTTTGTGGAACGCGCGAGCGAAGTGCCATTTGTTTTAGAGTTCTGTTTTCGAACAGTTACAGCTGCAGACGCCAGCACGCGCAGCGCATGCTGCGCGTGCTGACTGCGCGTGCTGCGCGTGCGCGTGTACGTTCCCGGCACTCTCTTTGACGCTTGGGCAACTCGGCGAAAGGTCTACATAGGCGCGCCTGCACCATTATGCATCGACATAAAAATCTCGCAGATATTTTTTTTTTAAGCGGGTTATTATTGTAGTAGTTTAGATGTGTTTTTTTTAATTTGCAGGAAAAGCTGTAACTGGCTATATTGTTAGAAATGGAACCTGGATTAATATTGGCAAAAGCAATCCCCTCGATCCACAGGCAAGCTTTATGTTGTTGTTGTTTTTTTACCCCACTATGCTATAGTCGTCGCCAGTCTAAGAAACGCAGGGGGAGGGGCGCTTCCCAGACATCTCCAGACAATGAGATTGCCGCATTTTCCGATAAAATCGCCGTGCAACCAATCACAAAGCGCGAGCATAATGGCTGCACGTCGGACCTATTATTTATGTATCGCTCTCATAAGCAAAAGTAACGAAGCTTCGAGATACGACACTGAGCATGGTTCCGAAAACTGAAAGACGAGCATTCTCTTAAAAGGACACTCAATGTGAATTTCGACATCGTCTATTTATAATGATATCTCAATTGCGCATTGTTGATTTTTTGAGAGCGTGTCCCACCTAGACTGTTAAAAAAAAATTCTTTCGGGGGCTTTTTTAAGGTTAAACTTTAATTCGTAGCGCGGTCCACAATCTTTCATGCGAAGTCCGCTTTTGTGGTGACCGTTTCATCATAGTGCGTGACAAACCACTCAGTCACATAAAGCATTCGTATTTCTACTAATTACCAGGAGAGTGAGTGACTTCTACTGCGACTTTATGAAATTATTACAACCATGCTACAATAGATTCAGCTTGAATTTTAATCAAGAAATCGCTTGGTTATATTTCTCTTCGACGAAAATGGACTGCAAAATATTTATGTCATACTTTGTTGTATGGCACACATTTTCTTAGGTCATACTTTTTAGTCAGGCGTTCTTGCTTCTAACCAATGCGGGCTTAAAGGGAAACTGACAGGGTATTTATGATCGCCAAGTTTTTATTTGTACATGACACATGAGAGCCCAACTACACAGAATACAATTCGAGGCTTGAAATTCCTTTTATTTCCGCCAAAAAACCTCCGATCGTGAACTGGCCGGTTTGAGTCGAGCTCACTTTTCTCTGTGCCCACGTGCCGTTTTCTATGGCTTAGACACAACTACCAAGTATAATCAAAGTCGTAAGTCATCGACAACACACACACAATACTAAAAAGAGAAAAGAAATATCACACCCATTTTTTGTGTCTTCTAAAAAGTTGAAAATACGTTGATTGGGGAGAGAAAAGTATCAGCCACGGGACTTCCGCCAACTTTCTCCTCCTCTATATTTTATCTTCCTCCCCAGTTCAGTTTCGGCTTGGAGCAGTTGCGTTTCTTGAGTTCATTAAAAATATATGTGACGCTGTAGCAAAATCTTGATTCGGTAGTCTTCTGACAACATAATAAATCGCCTGGCAAAAAAAAAAAAAAGAAAATAGAAATTGGGGGTGTCAGTGCCCCTTAAAGCAAACCACCCATGGGGAATCGGGTTGATTTCATTTGGTTACTTATATCCGCCGATTTTCTAGAGTTCAAGTTATGTTTATTCAAACGTTCAATAGTTAAGAAATACATTCGGTGAGATGAAGATCGTGAAACACAACTTCGGCTTTTGAGAGCTCCAGGTTTTGAGCTTTTGACAAATACTGGCTGGACCCTTGGCCCAAATGGTTCGTTTGTCATTTGAATTGCCTGAGTTAAACCACGCTTCGTTATGTAGGTTCGGGTGAACAGGTCAATCGCAGATGTATGCGACATCAAGTTCATAGTAAATTCATTGCTATCCACTGGTAGCACATCTAAAAACTTTTGCAGAGTGTAAAAACGCTGTTTTCTAGACATGCAGTGAAACATGTTTAGAACGAACCCACGTACCGCGAATTATTGTCGATTTTGAACTCGCGGAAATTAAACATTCGTCTTCTGGCCTGTCCTCCCCCCCCCCCCCCCCCCCCAAAAAAAAAAAAAGTAGGAAAGAAAGAAAATTCCAAAAGCTCAAGTTGCGAACATAATTGAGCAAAGAGAAGCGATTCAGAAGGGGAGAAAGCTAAAAAATACACTCTGCATGGACGCAAAAAAAATAAAATATATATATACATATTTTTCAGCTCAAAACGTTGCCCACGAAGAGAAGTAAATAAAAAAAAAAATAAGCTTAAAAAAAAAATCTGCACGCATGCAAAAAATAATTTAAAAAAATCTTTTCAGCACGTTGTTACAATGCGGAAGCGAAGAGATGAGAAAAAAAGAGATGCTCTCGTCTTTCAACAAACGCATCGTGGAAGTTCGTTGTAAATGTTTTTTGCTATATCGAATTACTTGCTATATCGGACTGATCGTAGCGTTTCCTGCTGTTCGTTATAAAAGGGTTTGACTGTACACCCATGGCAACACTCTTTCAGGACCCTTATTAACACGTAATAAACCCGCTTCAATTTTAAAATAGGCTGCTGCGGCATTAGACACATTTCGGTTTTGCAGGATGTAAACAGGGTGCCGAAAAAAGCGTGTATGGTGAGGCGAACCGCTTTTTGAAGAGTTCACTGCAGTGACGTCCGCTTTGGCCGTCGTTGTTTTAGCGACGATCTCGAATAATTCTTGCCTAAACCAATTCTTTCTACATAAAGATACATTCCTTGAACACATATATAATATGGGTTACGCGAAACATAAACTAAAACAAATAGTTGCGTATAACTTTTGCAATTGAGGGGAAGGTCACCTACGAATTAGAATATCTGAATTGTCGAGCATAAAAGGCGGTGGAGAAGTCACCTGGGTCATGAGTCCACTCTTGTGTGTGTTATTCATTGTGTCTGCATGTGCTGTTTTTGTGCATGTAAGAACTTTATGTGGTGCTTGTCGCTTGTAAACTTGCTGCTCGTAAAAATGTACCTAGGATGCTGCAAAGATCACAACCATCTTATTTTTTGGATGCTCACGAGCACCCAACGGATGTTAGTCCAGGGAACCGTTATTTACGCCCTTCAGGGTGTAAACCTTTTTAATGTGCACAACCTTTTTAATGTGCCGTGAAGCGAAGGGTATATTGATGAAATCGTCGAAAACTTTAAGAGAGACTGTCAAGACTTTCGATTTTAGACTTGGTGACCATGTTCACTGTTGTGTCGGCGTGCGACATTGTCATGTAATTGTATCTATAGTCGTTCGTGCGCAAGCGCAGGCTGCGAGTATGCATTTGAGCATTTTCAGTTTTTTTAGCGCTCTTGTAGTGATTTATAAAGCCTTTATGTTCATGTAAATCTCCATATACACTAAAGTAGGGGATGTTGTGTCGGCGTACTGCACCCTCATGCTGCTGTTTGTATTGTCGCTCGCGCGAAAGTGCGCCTGTATGTTATCGCTTGGTCTCTGGCCAGGTAACCTATTGTCCATAGAGCACCACTGCTGTTCACTCAATCGTTCATTCGTCTTGCCACTTTGCAATGTGTCCCTAAACCAGCAACACCTGCTGCCTCTGACTGCTGTCTATCCGTATATCTACATTAAACATTTACAGCTCTCAAAATGCTGACCTTTTTTTTTTCTTTTTTCAGATGTTTTATCCGTCAAAAAAAGGTGTGACAATTGTGAAGGGGGATATTTTGGTAGGTGCCACGCTTTTAAACTGGACACATTTAGGACACATTTAGAATTCAACGAAACCAAGAAACGCATTTGAGATGAACCGTCCATAAGCTAAGTTGCAGATAATCTGGAAGAAAACATTTAACAATAACGCGTGATAAATCATCTTTAATATCGATAGACCTCTTCCACATAAAAATGACACCAAGCGGCGAAATGTCGAAAAACGATGGGCGTTCAAGTGGGGAGTTGCGTTACCCTTTCCACCTCCTCCTGGACTTATCGGATTTGCGATGGATGCAGAAGAGGTAAAACAACTCAATATTACCAAGAAAGCAAGGCCTTCACATGACGTCATCACTAGAAAGAGTGGGGCGTCATCACGGTTGGATGGCGCAATGTCAGCGATTGGACCCGAACCCGGTGCCGAGCGTCCGATTCGACGCGTTGATTGGACAGAAGGCCCAGCCGAACGATGACGCCGCACTCGTAACCAATCCGTGTCTTCGCTCAATCTCACCGCGATGACGTCACAATTCTAGCTCACAGGCCTTGATTATTCTTGTTGGTGCTGACTCGGCGCTCTCGGTCTGCCTCAGAGCGGCGTGCTTTGGCGCCCAATTCCTCCTAAATTGAACTGGTGTAGACACCCATTCAGGTTTTCACGCTAAATTTAGCGCTGAAACGCGTCCCGCTAAACAGCAAAACAATTGAATTGAAATGAAAAAAAAAATTAATCACTATATGGAAATCAAGGTTTCCTCGCCATATTTTACAGTGAAATGCCTCCTGTTAGATTTGTGAGGTGAAATTAGGCTGGTGTATAATTACACAGCAATTTAAGGTTTTCGCCGCTTAATTAGCTATTGCGCAACGATGAAGGGAAGCACTTGATCTGACAGCTTGGTGAACCCGGAAGTGTTATTGCGTTTAATATTTATTTTTAGTTTTATCGTTTGTCAAATGGCTTAATTGGTCCCACGTATGAGCAGAATTGAAATCAGTTTGAAGAACGTGCTCAATTATCAGCTTGGATAATGTTTTTAATGAAGTCGGGGAGATTTTCATTTATTGTTCAGCTTAATCGCTTGCAGTGCTCGGCTTATCCACACAACCATTACAGGTACCCACAATTTACAAGTAGCCCCGACAAAACTGTGGAAGACGGATCTCGCACACAGAAGGCAGCCCTATAGACCGCCATTGAATGACGCCCAATAGCCATTTGTTAAACATTTGTTTGATAGATGGTTAAGCTTCTGTGAGTCTGGATAAAAGCGTGGCCACGAGCCCCGGCACTCATTGGTTGACGGATTGGAGAGGAAGAGTGAAGTGCTCAACACTGATTGGTTAGCGGGGAGGCCACACGACCATGGGTGGAGTCAAGAAGAGAAGTATAGGCGAGGTGGGAGGGGATGAGTGGGTTAGAAGGCTCTGGAATATCGCCATGTTTATCATTTCAAGTGTACACATTGCGCACGTTAAATTATCTGACGAAAAGCACCGTGAACGCGGGCGTCTTGTTGAGCAGGCTGGACGTGTTTGCTAAACGATGATGTGAATGTTTCTGATGCTAGAAGGCTTCACGGAAGCAACACAATTGTCTAGATATTTGCCGTACATTAATGTACGACTTTCTGGAAGGTAAACGGGGCCGATGCTTCGAATTTTACAAGGTTTGATTTTCGCCAACGCTCATGCGTAAAAAAAATGGATAAAATATAAGCCAAGTATTACAACTATAAAATTAAAAATTGCAGAGTAGTTGATGCCGCAACATAAAAAATACAGAAAAATACGGATTTTAGTTTATATTTCGGGGATGCGGGTTGTATGCGGGTATCGAAATGATAGTATAGGGGTAACAAAAATCATTGCATTATATCTACACTCCCTAAACATTTAACGTGAAAAATCCTATTTAAAATTTGCTTCACGTGACACACAGTCTTGGGTAAGTTACTTTCAAAAAAGTTATTCGTTACATTTACATTCAGATAAAAGCAGCGAAGTTACCGTTGCAATTACAGCAAGGAAAAAGTACATCGTAGCAGTTACTTTTTAAAAGTAGCAGCGTTACTTTTAACTTTTAAGTTACTTTTTCATAAAGCTACAAATCAAAAAAAAAAAGCAGATGATCCTTCACCCTAAATGTATTACAAAAAGTGCAAGTAATGTGGGCGCATGTTGACACAAGCCAAACATGACAACCCAGTTGCCGGAAAACATAATTTGATAAGTGTAAGCAAGGGCTAGACTATACTCGTTCAATTATACCTTAATAGTGAAGAAACCGTGAAAAGTAACGGCGAAAATAAATTTGTTACTCTCGTCGTTACTCTAGAAAAAGTACAAAAAGTACGGATGCAAGCCACCTATAAAATAGAGTAATTCGTTACTGCTAAAAGATACCAAAAAGCAACGAAGTTGCAGTAAAGCGGTACCTGTATCGTGTTGTTTTTAAGACTGACTACACAGTGCTTCTGTAAGTGAAGTAAGATCCTGCCAAACATTCAGTGGATGGCTCATTTCTTTAAAATTACAATTTATTCTTTCGTGTTAAACAATTGCTTATACGTTCCCTATCCATTTCTTTATTTTTGCTTCAGGCTGCACGCTGCACCATGAAAAACTTCAGGAGCAGAGACACTTACGTAGGGTGAGGATATTCACCTAAAGATGTTTATTCACTAAAATTGTCACTGCTTCATACATTTTATTGTGGTTGTATATATGCCATGCGAAATCATATTTTTATCTGTGAAATAGTGGGTCTTAATCCTGGTTCGCACATTCGTGTTTGAGTGTAACCGACTGCATTGAAGCCTCTCGCAACTGATTGCGACGAGCTAACACACTGACGCCATCTGTCGGGTAACCCTGGAACCTTTCCTATCTACGTCTATAGTTTATTATGTGTTCCGCAACATTCTTTCACTCTAGGCTTGAAAGAATTCTAACAATGTTATTGGCCAACTTATATATATATATATATATATATATATATATATATATATATATATATATATATATATATATATATATATATATATAGTACGTAGATTTGATCTCTCAAATACTACGAAACCTCCATTCATGTTGTGCGAAGATCTGAACTACCAACTAGCCCAATGGGCCACCTATTACAAGGCAGATTCGCTTCATTCGTACTTCTGCAAGAAGCATCGATAGAATAAGGCTCATTATTCCAGCTACTTTTACTGCCCCTGTGAAGCATTCAAATTGTAGTAATAGTTTTATTTGTGTTTTTGTAACTCTACTATGCCTGTGTCGAAAGGGTTTCACTAAGGTTTTAATTGCGATCTCAATATTTTCCTCTACAGCCCCACATCGGAAGATGAGATGTGCGACTTCTATGTGATGTACTACACAGACGGAGACAAGATTCTAGAAGAGGGTTTGTGTTACTCCGAAGCGTCCCCGACTTACTACTGGAGAACAGATCCGATGCTCAAAGACCACGTCACGCCCGCCATCGACGAAGACGCCAGCACTCTCGATTGATACGGCCTATGCGGAGATCAAGTTCGACTGCTTCTTGCGCAGCGGTTGCGGTGTCGTCAGAACGCCGATCTCTGATTGGCTCCGATTGGAAGGATAGTGGGTAGACCGATAGCCTCCTATGTACTGACAAAGCCTGGCAGACCGCCACGAGAAGTGGCCGCCGAAATGGAAAAGGTGGAGCGGCAGACAACGGATGAGAGGAGAGTCACGCGACTGGCGCCCCGCTGCGGCGAGACGCCGAAACACACTTCTCCCGAGCGAACAAGTGTGTTTCGGGTCCTCGCCGCTGCAAAAGCTGTGCGCTGACGTCCGAATTTTCCAAGAAATGGCGCTTTGATGCTCTTTGCTGCCAGATCCTTGCGCTAAAAATCTGCGACCGGCCACTCTTTGCCTCCGTCGTCGAACTGCCAGGCTTTGTGAATATAGAGAAGGCTATGATATAACTCTCAACGTCCTATGTGTGGGCCAAACACCCACTGATAGCATCTGAGCCAGTGGAGAAGATCCATGGTCGTTTGACGAAGTTAAAAAAAAAAAGAAACAATAAGCACGGGCATAAGCCTTACGGACTTTCGTCGTGTTCAACCCCAAAGCTGAGCGAATACCAAAGTTCCTATTAACCCCGAGATATTTGGGGGGCGCCCCCTTACGGTTTCCGTTCGTGACGTCATGACCAGTACTTGACTCACCCTGGTTGACGGGATTTGCCGCACCGCGAACCGGTGATTGGGCAGGCGTCGTCACTCAATGCAAGAAGCGTATGATTAGGCCAATCGCGAACTTCGACCACAGCTATGCTTTTGTTCGCGTACTATCGGGGAAAAATGAAATGCGAACAGAGGAGCGCGTGGTTCACGGTACAGGCTGCGCCGCCTGGAAGTGAACCTAGGGGCGAGGGTGCGTGGCCTACTTCGATGTGTTCACGCCCCTCGATTGGCGCTCCCCAAGCTTCAGCAGTGCGCCTCTTAGTGCGCTGAAAGCTATCACCGCTATCTTTGCTGGCTCAGCGCGTGCGGTGCAAAGAAGCTCGCCGCACTCGCCGAACAGGCAAAGATAGCGGTGACAGCTTTCAGCGCACTGAGAGGCGCACTGCCGAAGCTGGGGGAGCGCCAATCGAGGGGCGTGAACACATCGAAGTAGGCCACGCACCCTCGCCCCTAGGTTCACTTCCAGGCGGCGCAGCCTGTACCGTGAGCCACGCGCTCCTCTGTTCGCATTTCATTTTTACCCGATAGTACATCGCTGTCACTGTCGACTTAAAAAAACTTGAGGCGAGCAATTATTATGTGAATTCACGCTCCTTGATACGTGATTGCTCCCTGGGCGTTTTCAGCCTTCGGCGCGCTGCAATCTTTGTCTGCTGGGCTGTAGGACGCCTTCTAATTATTTTCGTCTGCGTACGCAGCTTGGTCACTCGACATTTTCTTTCCCGGGGTGGTATGGCGCTGGAAATGTCCGTAGTCTGAAAGTGTCAAACGCATTGTTATTACACGTAAATACGAAAACCTGACTGAATTCTTGAAATTCGGGGGCTGTGAGCTGGTTTGCAGTGCCCAGTATTGGGCGAATGAAATACATTGAACGATGCATCCCGTTAAAAGTCGAGTCTTTCTTTTTCTTTTTTATTCCATCTTTATTTTATTCGATGCACTTTTTCAGAGAGCGAAAACTAAGGCCTATAGTCGGTGACAGGTCACTGTAGATGCTCCGCCTCCAGCAAGCATTATACTCGCATTCAGTTCGAGAACAGCAGTAAAAGTAGTCCGGCTCCTCGAGGAGCATTACTAATTCCCGCCTTTTTGTAGTGAATTAAATAAAAGTAGTCCGGTTCCTCGCGGAAAATTTATCGTTATGTAGTTAATTAAAATATGTGTAGGTTCATTTTATATAAGCTACGTGTTGTTTTACCAAGACGTACTTGTTTCAAACCCCCAAAAAAGCATTGTTTCTTCCCCCTCCAAGCAAAGCTTTGCAAGAACTACTTTTCTCAGCGTATCAAAAATGCGTAAAACTTTTTTTTTTCTTGTTGCGCATGCGACGAAGTGTTATCAAAGGCAGAAAAAGCTTGCAATGGAGGCGGAGTAGTACATGTATAATGTGTGCTTAAACTGTCGCCGTCTATAAAGCTAATAGGTGCTATCTCAGTATTGCAGAGCGATATTATACGAGAAACATTGATTCGTGCTTGACGATACGACGTATTTCGTACATTTTGTTTTGCTGCCATGCTTCCATTATTTTGTTGTTTAATCACTTTTCTATATTTTTGGTACATATATGACTCCCACCCTCCCCCAATGTGATATCCGTCCTTGGAGAGCCTTTATGGATATTCCGAATAAATAAAAGAAATAGCACGTTCCAAAAACAAAACAAAAAAAGGTTGTTGCGTTTTTATTTTAAATTGAATAGACAGCTTATGTTAAGTAACGAATGAGTTTGTTAGAAGTAAATAAGATTTGTTTTAGAAAAGTTTATCTTTCTACAGTTGTGTCGGCATCGTCTTTTTTTTTTATCTGCCTATGATTGGGTTCACATTTTTGGACGTTTGCTCGCAGACCCGCGGCAGGGGGTGAGAGTGTGAACGGGGAGTCGTCTTGTTCTCTCAAGCGCGGGGGGCTTCGAGCAGCAGCGGGGCTCGGTGGAGAAGAGTTGGACCCCGGTCGTTAACAAACGGATTGAGTTTCAGTTTGGGGGGCGCCGGAAAACCCCTGTCTTGGGCTTCTGTCCGCACTTGTGGCTTTTAAGCGGGTGTGCTTGTGTCCTGCGTATTTCGCCGCTTAGTGTAGAAACCTTCGCTTTTAGTGGACGCAACAACTTAACTCTGTGGCGCCAGCCAGACGGCGAAGAAAGCATGTGGTGTCTCTACAAAGAATTTGGGTTTGACCCTTGAAGTGTCGGGGGGGGAGGGGGGGGGGGGGGTGTCAGGTTGACAGCTCGCTGGTCATTGGGTAAGAGTGTACCACGTGACAATGGGCAAATTTGAAGTGATTGGCCCGTCTCTGGAGGGAAAGGAGGCCCCTACGAGTCTAGAAAAGGGCTGCCGAGAGGATTCTCGAGGATTCAGCTTTTGAGATCAGGCAGATTCGGCTCTTGAGACTGGGGGACTAGAATATGGGTTTTAATTTTCCGAGTTTTGTCATGTAAATTACTGTTGACTTGTTGTCGTTTTGTTTTGAAATAAACGTGGCCACACTGGCCATCGTAAACCAACCAACGTCGTAATGTGTCCAGCGGGATCGAACAACTTTTAGTGTTTTTTTTTTGTGTTTTTTTTTTTGTTATTCGACTTCCCGGGGGACTTGCATCGGGCGAACATCATCATCGGTCGTCACCATCCTGACCGGGCCCCCTCTCCCACGGAAAGTTGACTGCCTATATACCGGAACCTATGATGAGTGTCGCAAAGCAAAATAGGCCGTCGACTTGTAAACGTATTTAAACAATATAAGATGGACAGCTCTGATACGGGTAGAGCGATATTATTGAAAAGACGATAACATGATTGTTGAATTTCACTAACTGCATAAATCACCATACTGGGACAAAAAAAAAAAAAAAAAAAAGTCTGGGGCCCGAAGATTCGAAGCCAGAAATAATATTTTCGCTCTGAAATTTTGAAGCTAGAGCGGACTAGATTTTTTTTTAATCTCTTTTTCTTAAAACGTTTTCTGCCTTTTTACCATAATGAATCCGCAGGGCTCAGCCACGTGAGCCGATTCCAGCTGGAAGATTGTATACGAGCACTGCATCGTTCAGACTGCGGAAGGCAAATATCAATCCGCCGAGAAATGTTCTGGTTCCCTTCCTCTGCTAATTGTACTTCGCATCTATTGTTCTGTGCAACGTTGCCAAGTCTAACACGGTAATGCAGCCCAGCACTGCCTCGAAGCACTTTATCTTTTCCAAGCCTCCTTCACAATAAGACAATATTATTTAGATTTTCATCGAATTTATTAAAGAAAAGATACAAGGACGTCAAATCTGCGTTGAAACGCTTCTGATTGCTACCTTCCGGATTTGTTTTGTCGCTGCCATGCAAGAATCTACACCGGGAAGCAATATGAATCATTATTTTATTTTGTGTGAAAGATGCAAGAAGAGCCTAGAATTTGATTATGTTCTCATGAAGCGCAGTAAAAGGCGCAGTCAGGTGTAACAGAGCCTGCGTACTCGCCGGAGCGATTCGTCTAGTTTTTAACGCGGTGATTAAATGAGATTTTACGAAAAAATTGCATAGTAATTCAAGTACCTCTAGCGCGTGCGAAGTGAGTCTCACTACATGCAGCATGTACACTAACATTTCGATCCCACTTTGGACAGTCAGAAAAAATCGGTTTCTCAATGTAGCGTGTTGCGATTTACTACAGAGGTGCGGCTAGGTGGTGCACGCATGGAGTTAAAATATCAACAAATGAACTTGCTTCATTCAAAAAAAAAAAAAAAAAAACTCTTTCGGGCTATCCGCTGTGGCGTTCGCAGACGACGGCACGACCGGGCTCGCGTAGTTAATTCTGCCGCCGACAGATGTCGCAAGCGTCAAGCGCACCGGCGCCGAGCTTAGCAGACGATTTTCAGAGACTTTCCACCATGGAGGTAGGAATAATAGGAGGCGACCAAGGAGGTTCTATATAACCTCCTTCGAGACGACATACCGGCTCAAACCAGATAAACGAAAAAATCTCAGGTGTGACCGTAAATGGAGGTCGCGGTAGGTGGGAACGACCTCAAAGGTGACCAAGTCCGTCCAATGGCGTCTTTCGGTTTTGGTCATCGCTGAAGCGGTGTCCCTCCAAACCGGAAGTCTCTTCCAGCCCCACTTCTGGTGGCGTCGTGTCGACCCAAGAAGCTTCCTCCCTCTTCTTACATCCCTTATTGAGACGCTGCCTGTTCTTTTTTTGTCTTCCTTTGCGTTTTCCGTTCCTTGCCCTAGTCTCAGGTTTAGCATCATGTTCTTACCTCCATGCTTGTCACTATGCCGGTTTTAGAAAGTGACACAG